GCTATGAATGGAATGTTTGTCCCTCTTTCCCAAACCCCTATATATACCAAAGTTGTGATGAATAAAGCATTCAGTTTTGTACACGCAAACTGGATCGTTGCTTCCTTAAACCGTCACAAATGGCTCCTGATAACAGCAGCATGAATCCTTGAGGGGAATAGAGGCAAGGACGGAGAAGAGGTCCTGCTCCGGTGACAGGTCGCAATCGAACGGAACGAAAAGCGCGCTAAACCAGTTCCTCTCTGCTGGACAGAAGGTAAACGCGATTGCGGAATAGGGCGAGGTTTGAATGCTCGGAGGCCAAAGAGAGAGCTTCCTCCGATCGAAACAAAAAGGCTGCTTTAAGCACCTAGGGGCCAAAAATAGCTTCGAAACAAAAACGACGGGCAAATAACTGCCCTGAACAAAAGACTGCTTAGGAAATGGGATCTAAGATGTCCTCAGAGAAAAAGACAGTTTACCAACTGATGAAATGCCTTCTTAAACAACATGGGCTCGAATTAGATGACTTTTCCTTGCAAAACTTACTGCTGTAGGACGCAGCGCCACTGCAAGTGGGAAGAGAGCGCCAAAATAGCTGCAGCTCCTCGGCACCGCTACTGCCGGAGGCGCCGCCCCTGAAGTGCCTACGGCCACGGCCGCGGCCGCCGCCGCTTACTGCCGCCGCTTACTACCGCTGCCAGCAGCAGCAGCCGCTGCCGGGGGGGGCTGGCCGCCGTCCGTCTCGCCTTCCAGTTTCCAGCTCTGCCGTCGCCGCCAACCCGCGCATGGTCGGGGTGCGAGCGAACGCCAGCGAGCTGCCGCGCTGCCTCAGCAAGTTCCTGTGTCGCCGCCTGCTACCGCTGCCAATGGCGGCCGCTGCCCAGCGGGGGCTGCTCGCCGCCTGCCTCGTCGACCTACAGTTTCCAGCCTCTCCGCCGCGGCGGAACCCGAGCCGGCCCGCGACCCCCCGCCTCTCTGAGTCGCCCGTCCCCGACAAGCGCCCAGCCCGTCGAACTCGTTCTCCGATCGGAAGAGCTGCCTGACCGCCTCCCTCAGCGATTCCGAGCCGCCCAGCCTGGAGGACTCAGACTGCCGCCAGCCGCCTCTCCATCTCCGACAATTGAGGGGGGATGGGGAACCAGCCGGGGGGGTGGTCCCACGTCGACCCTGCACGTAAGTGATCGAGAGAAGAAAGCGAAATCTCTCTCTCATTACTCCTAATCTCTTGTGGGTAACTTAAAACCAATGTTTTACTTAAACTGGTATACAGAAGGTTTTAGGGAGTTTCCTGTGGAACGGGTCTTTGTGCTGAAGTTTTAGCGAAGTGCCTTGTTCTTGGTTGTGTTTTGCTCCTGTAAGAACCTTTTGCCAAAATATCGTATTCAGCAAAAAAAAGAGTTTTGGCAAAAAGAAAACGAACCCCTGACAAAAACAGTCTGCCAGGAGGGGAAAAAAAAAGTTAAAAATCCTCTTGCTAAAAGTCTGCCTTTGCAAAGGAAGAGATAAGGTGTGTTCACACAAAAGAGATCGTTTGTTGCTTAGTAACCGGGCGGGAGGTTTAAATCTTTCCGGCCAGAGAAAACTGTATAGCCTGACGCAGGAGGATTTAAACTGCCTGTTTCTCGGAGCTGGGGGGAAGTGGATTCTCTCGTCTTCTGTCTCGTCCGTTCTGGGATGGGGAAAAAGTAAAACCTTACTGCTTTATAAAAACTGTGACTTTGCTACTTTGTGGTTGGGGAAAAAAGTTCTCTTGTCTAGCAGTCTGAGGGGGGGGACGACACATAGAAAATCCAAACCTCTCTCTCGCTTTGAATTTTCCTGCTTACAAGACGGGGGGAGGGGGAGGGAGGCACTGCAAACTGAAACTCCTTCTATCACTCAGTTCCCTTATCAGTTGACTGCTTCTAACAAACCCTTTGGCGGGGGGGGGGATAAAGAAGCAACAGGCAAACCCCAAAACCTCTTGGGAAAGCAAAAAAAAAGGCTGCCTTTCTCAAGGAAAGCTAAGAAACCAATTAAAGCTAAACGTACTGCCTAAAAAGCAAAGATTCTCTAGGGAATAAATAAGCAGAGTTCCCTTTTGTTGTCTAAAGCCCTTAAAGCTGCCTTTACGCTGTCATCTGCTAAGATCAATATGATGCCCTGACTCCTATAATTAAAAATCAGAGATGAAATTGCAAATCATTGTATAAATTTATATTTTTATTAACTAGGAATGTTTAAGTTTTGTCTCGTCAAAACCAGAATACTGGCCTGAATAAGCAATGGCGAGCCACTTAAGTAAAAATGGAAAGAACTGTTATCTTGATTCCTGTGATATCTACAAATGAGAACTCCTAAAAATGAAGCCAAATGAAGAACCGTACTGAACATTGAAGTCAAAGAAAGCAACAACAAGAATCAGAGACTGTAAAATAAAATCACTAAATGCCTTGCTTTCTGTTTGCAGTATAGAATCTTCTAGTGTAACAACGTAATATTAAGTTTTGTTTTGTTGTTAAAATAATGTTTGTCTTTGTTTTCTAATTGTTTCAGCACGTGAAAAGATTCCCTGATAATTCGTATGAGGACTCATACAAGATTTCATGTGAATCAAATCTGGTTATAATAAGAAAACTCGCGGTATCTTTTTTTCAAAAAACATCAATAAGTTGTCATTTTAAATATGTATTTGCCTCATTATTCTCACTTTGACACTCACCATACACCGCTGACAGACTGCAGAGATACAAAAGGACTAGGAAGTTGTAAACAAGACCTCATAGGTGTGACTACTATAGAAAGCACATTTGTTTCACCAATGCTTAGGTTGCATCTAGTCCCTGAAATCAAGAACATAGATGCCTCATTTTTATGACCTTTGTTATGTCTCTCTATGTCCTTACCACAATGTAGGTATGTGCTTGTGTTAAAAGCCAGTCTGTTTTCTTCACTTTCAGATTTCTGAACCTTAATTTTAGGGGGTTTAATTTTGATCGCCTAATTTGGCTTGAGAAATACATGGATGCCAGTTATAGGAACTACAAAGGTGACAAGCTGTTACATACAGATTTGATTTGAAGTGTTTTCTGGTTAATTCAATGGAAACAGGTTTAACAAAGCAGAGCTTTTACGGATTAAGGTGGACAGTAAGACTTCCATATTTTTCTTAAAAGTGACTATAAAGATATGCAGAATGCTTTTACATTGATATGATTCCTTCATATGTCTTTATAATGCCAAGCTTTGTGGCCCAAATTATTCTGACATGTAATACCTTCGTATAATTATACTTTCCATGTAAGAGGGGCACATGAGTGTAGGAAGCAAGAAGCAATGGTAAAATGGTTAAAATTAGTTCCAATATTTTGTTGACATATTTGGCTTTGTGATTACTGTAAGTGGCATAAAGCTGCTTGAAATATTTTTTCAGGTATATAAAGAGCTGTACATTGTCTGGAAAAAGAGGCCTTCTTGCTAGATTAATTTTTACTAGTGGTGTTAAAAGTAAGGCTGAAGTGTTTCTTGTTAAATCCATTTAAGAATACTTTTGCTTCTAAGATGCAGCTATAGATTTTTGTTATTAGCTCATTCTGAATTGATACATCAAGGCATTGATAAGTTAAAGAAACTTTCAGTTCAACTTAAAGAAGATAATAATCAAGGCTTAGGTGGCATATTTAGTTCGCTTAATATGTTTAGTATAGTACCCTAGTTAAAGAAAGCAATTATAGTAATATTAATGGGCCTGTTTGTATTTTTTTGTATTATGCTTTGTATTCTCTGTTTATTATCTTGTATACAACACGTGGTTAATTGCAGTTTTGTGGAAAGCCTCAATCTCGCAGCTTGAAAACAAAAAGGGGAGATGTTGGAGTATAAATTCTTTATGACACAGAAATCTTAACCAGAAACCATGGGATTTAAACAAAGACAAGGAAAGTCTGTTTACATCCACTCCTTGAAATTCTTACATTATCTTTTAATTAACCAGACTTGTAGGCTCCATAGGTAAATCCCTTTATCACTTTGTTTGCCCCATCTGCCTTGTGATTGTGATAAAGAAATATCTGTTTATCTGTTTGAAGAAAAATATCTCCCTGTGTTTCCTGGATCTTTAACCCCAGCTATGAATGGAATGTTTGTCCCTCTTTCCCAAACCCCTATATATACCAAAGTTGTGATGAATAAAGCATTCAGTTTTGTACACGCAAACTGGATTGTTGCTTTATTAAACCATCACAAACCTAGACCTTGAGGTAGTTCGCAACTCATACAGGAAACCTACTCTAAGATAGTCTCCTTAAATATTGCCAAAGCAAAGGAGAAAACTTTTTCACCTTTTATGGTCTAAGGAGCTGAGCTTTTGGAACTTTATAATCAGCTTGAAGTATAAATGGACTATTTCAATTTGGATGGAAGAATATGGCTCTCATTAAATTGTATACGTCTTCAGGGTAAAAAAACCTGCCATTGCCTTCCGCAAACAAAGCAAGAAACCTAACAGATTCAAGGACTCAGTTCTGAAAACTCAGTGTAGGATCAACCCAAACTGTACACATGTGGAATTTTACTCGCTTTACGAGGATCCAAACCACTTTTTTCCTTCATAAGGACAAAATATTCCTACTTTACAAATGAAATGCATGCATTATTCAGTCACAGCCTACAGGGACAGGGAGCAGTAAAAGGAATGAGGGATGCATGGGAGTGACTTGGCTTAATGTTTGTGCTTCTCTTAAGATGATACACGTATTTATTAGCCAGGGATATATGTATGCATTCTCTTTATCAAAAGACATTTTAATACGCATTAGTTGCTGGGGTCTACACAGAGAGTCTCAGAGGGTCTTCTTGGGGATCTTTAGGCACCCCAGGGGGGTTGCTGAGCATTTGGACTTTGCTCGACCCTTCATCAT